CAAAAAAGCCAGAGCCGGCCCTGGTGAGGGGGGAGAGACAGCAGCAATAAAGCGGCCGAGCTGGGTGTCCGCAATAAGCCTGGCGGGAGCAGGAATCCCACCCAGCGCCCCTGAAGCGGGATTTGCTCTACGTGACCCTGCAAACCCGGAGGAAGGTTCCCGGCCCCGTGCAGGGCTGGCAGATCTGGGGGAGTAGAGGCGGAGGTGCCCCGCTGAGCGTGCCCGCACTTTGGGGCCAGGGCCCGGCAGCAAAGGACACCGCTGCGCCCCGGCGCAGGCAGCCCCCCTGCGGCGGCGGCGGCTGGGCCCAGCCTGCCCCGTCCTCCCCGCCAGGCCCCGCCTCCATTCTCCGCCCCCACGGGAGGCTCCGGCAGTGCCCCGCACCTCAGCGCTCGGACCGGACTGCGAGGGGAGCTGGTCCCAGCCTGAAGCGCAGCAGCACCGAGCCAGCCCCGGGCCTTGAACCCCTTCAACCCGCCGCCCCCCAGGCTCGCTCGCTCTCTCCCCCCCTCCCCCGGTCTTGTCCCTCCAGCAGCTCGGGCCGCCGCCGCCATGGTGAAAGTGTCGTTTAACTCCGCCTTGGCGCAGAAGGAGGCAGCCAAGAAGGACGAGGAGAACAGCCAGGTGCTCATCCTGGGCCCGGACCCCAAGGTGAGCCGCGGGGCGGGGGAAGCCGCGGCCTGCTCCAGCTGCATGGCTGGGGAGCGGGCTGGGGAGGGGGGTGATCAATAATCACATTGGTGAGACCGGGGGGGCAAGTGGCTTTGTCCGGCGGGGGGGGATTAGCTAAAGCCCCACTGGGAGCTGGAAGTGAGAGCGAGCGGGGGGTGTTGAACGGGAGCTTTGCAGCCTGGGCTCCTTGCAAACAAATCCGCCTCTGATTTATTGATGGGAGACGAGAGGCCTCCTGGGGAAAGGCAAATAAGGTGACTGCTAACAATCCATGTCCAAATGCAGGGCGGCAGAGCGAGGGGAGCAGCAGGAGCTGCAAAGCTGGGGCCGGTGAGCCCCTTGCCAAATCAGGCTTCTAAAATGGCTGACGTGAGAACAAGCTTTACAGCTCTGTTTCCCTGTACTTTGGGTTTTTTGTAGCCCGACAGCGCTTGGATTACGGCCAACTTGGCTTTTTTATGCTGCGTTCTTCTCCTTTTGTGGTGGCCAGTCCGGATCCGTCGTTCAAGTTCGCTAGAGAGGATAGGACAGCAAAGGGCTGCTGGTTTCTTGTTTAGGAACAGCGTAGTTAGCCCTAGGAAGAGATGTATTAGATTGAGTCCGTCCCTCTGCAAATGCAGCATATACTAGCTCACGGATAGAGAACGAATCTGATATTAAATTACATTTGATCGTAGCCAAATGTCTCTTCTGCAGTAGGGCAAAAGTGACAAGGTTAGAGTGTCCTGTATGTGTTTGATCAGTTACAAAATATTAACAGCTTGGATGGAAAAAACACAAAGTTAGTGTCCAGCAAGACACAGGATGAGACATTAATCCACCTGATGACAATCAAATGAACTGTGTTGGAGCGCATTGATACATTTGGGAAATTGCTTTAAGTATTTATTCCTTTTTTATGATGGTGGAACTGTTATTGGAAAGCTGATTACATTTCTGCTGTATCTTAATTTCAGAGGTAGAGTTTGTGTCTGTCTGGGCTGAAACTTTGCATGTTTAAAAAAACCCACAAAAACTAAAACTGATAGAGACATTTAAAATTGCACATTGCACTTAATCATAAACATCTTTCAGTTTTCATATGCTTTCATAATCTTTTATGTGTCGCACATCCAAATTGTGTAGTTGGGTCTGTTGGACATATATTGTTTGTCAGTTTTCTAAACCTATAGCTGTTTAAGAAAATGTTTGGGGTACAAATTAAGGGCCAGTCTTTCTCAGGCAAAACTTCTGAGGTGAAACCCTACCCTATTGAAGTCAATAGGAGTTTTCATGTCGACTTGAATGGGACCAAGAGTTCATTCCTGTAGAGTTTAGTAGTTTCAACTGAGTAAGGTACAGGATTAGAAATTAAGTTTGCTCTGTTTATTACTATTTTGCTTGTCTGGAAACAGAAACATCAAACATTTACTAGACAGATTAAAATGTTGTCTAGTTTCACTGTAGCTACTTATAAGTTCCTCTGGATCCTCTGCTTGTTACCAGATGTACTGGCCAAAACTTGCCTGACCAGAGCTTAAAAAACAGCTTTAAAATAAAATGCTTAGAAAGGATGCTGTGTACAGGCAATAATTCCAGCAGTAAATGAGCATTCTTCAGGGATGGTGAGGCTTTGAATCTGTCCTGGACACACTTCTGTTAGTTGTCAGAACTGGTCCCAAGGAATTCTCCTGAAATGGCCTTTTCAAGCAGAAGTAAAAGAAATTCTAAGTAAAGATATTTATCTGAGGTTTTGGGAGAGGAAGTTGCCCAACACCCACCTGTGGACTTGTCAATATTGAGATGCTGTTTTGTAACTGAACTCTCACAGGGTCTAAGAACCACCATAAATCTCCCTTCCACTTTCACTTCTTCAACCTTGTCATCTTTACTATAAACACAGCAACATACGCATTAAAACATGACCAACCCAAACAAAAAACTATACTGCACACACAATTCTCTCTGGGGAGAGGATGAGAGAGAGAATAAATCACACATGACAGATGTTAGTCACATTGTTTAATGCAGTGCTGGAAGGTGCTTAGTTACTAAGGAGATGAGGGTGTTATGAGAACATGTATATTAAGCCAGTATTTCATAACATATTGAGCTTATATTGCAGGATAACAATAGGTCTAGAACCCAAGTACAGTCCTAAAATATACGCTGCTGTAATTTTTTTTATTTTTTTTATTTATTTTTGAAAAAGTCCTGGGAGACATTCTGGTCTCAGGTTTAAAGAAAAAATAAGGAAAGAGAAAGTGGAAGAAGATTGGCAGAGGTAAGCATATGTAATTGCATGGTGAGCATTTACCCCCAGACTCCAAGGAGAGATGATAGCAAACCAGATAGTCTTCATGTACCAAGGTAGATCCTCTGGTATGACCAAAAGGGACAGAAGCTGAAGCCAGGGGGGAGTGGTACTACACAAAGGTGGCATAAAACTCCCGTTGCATTGCCTTGCTCTGCTGCATGCCATCTTCATCACATTTTACTGGAGCAGCTCTCTACCTCTGCTGTATTTTATTGCAAGATCACCCTGGGGGTAATCCTCCCTGGGCTGGTTAGACAGGGTTTGCAGCCAAAGTATGCTGGCGATGTGGCACAGAACAGCCAAGGCACACCTGAGGACCTAGCCAATAATCTCTGAAGAAGGGAATGATGAGAAATGTAGTTGCAGGAGGTGGCAGAGGGGAGAGAGATATTTTAAATAGAAATTTATGCTAACTTTTTATTGAACTTCTCTTACAGAAGAGATCCCATAGTGTAATGCTTTTACAATAATGTGTTTGAACTGGTTACATCAATAAATAAAGAATTTTTTTAACAAGTTAGAAGTACTAATCTCTGTGTCTGCATAGTTATCTATCAAGATATTATTTTGGAATTGCAAAAATGACTCCTTACTTACAGTTGCTGGAGGCATTCCATTCGGAACCTCTGATTTAAGTTTTATGGAGATGCCTGAAACCTTCTGATATTTGACAGAGCTTGCTCAGTAGAATAAGTCCCCACTAAAGGGTTCTGGATCCTCAGCAAACTTCAAAGTCTGTTGGTCAATTCCTTCAATACCAGACATCAACCTGGCTTCTTCAAGGCTGTAGGTCTTCATAACTTCACCACATAAAGCCATATTTGATGAAGTCACACCTTGATGGGTGATAGCCAGTTTTTGGTTAGCTTAGATTTGGATAGTCATGTCTTTGATCTTAGACCACTGTACTTCTAAGATTACAGATAAAGGTGTGTTGGCATTGTATACTATGTTATGGTGCTTGTTTTGGTGTCAGGAAAACTAAATTTACTCATTTAAAATATATAGGACAGTTTATGTAACTGCTTTTTATTCTGCAGAGATTTCCTTCTTTTCCCTGGTAGCATCATTTTTTGGTGGAGGCCTGGCAACTCTATCCCTGTCGGCAAACGTTTTCTCTGTGGGGACTCTTTTGACCTCTCTCCAAAGCGAGGGAGAAGCCTTTGATAGGAGATTCTGCCAACCTTCCCCTGGCAACGTAGATGGCTAAACTGGACAGCTTGTGCCTGCCTCAGGAGTATGATAGATTTGCCTGCTGTGTATTTTAGGGTGCCAGTACTAAAGAAACATAGGAAAGAGAATTGGAGCAGGCTGACTTCCCTCTTCCTCTCCCACTGTTTTGGTGGGGGTGTTACTGAACTTGTCCCAGACCTCAAAAGAAAATAACTAACCTTCTAGTTCAGGTCCAAAGGATTTGCAAATGTCTCTTGCTTCCTTATTTGGCCATACAGGTTCATCTGTCCTCGAATGAGTGCAGGAGGGAGAGGCAAGGATGTTGACTTTTACATAACAAAGTTTTTCTGCATGAGGAATCTTAGATTTATTTTAACTTTGAGATTCTTGGGAAAGGGAGTAAAGGAAAATGAGTGGCTAGTTGCCACCCTTTGAGGTAAATTCTTGCATGGTCATCTATACTACTGATTAAATAATATACCTCCTTAAAAACAACATCATGATGGGCTTTGCACAATTGCCTCTAAAGCTCCTTTTGAGGATGTTGCCAACAATTGAGTGAACAATACACACAAAGTAATTACAAATTAAAAAAAAAAAAAAAGACTTGTTTCACTGGAACTCTACCAAAAACAATTGCTGTTAATGGTATAGCTTGGAAACTTGGGATTCATTTCTTGAACTTTCTGACTTTGAGCTGGGAACATTGGTTGCAAATCTTTCTTCAAGCAGTAGAAATGAACATATTGGAGCAGAGGAGCTCTTGGAAATGGTCCATATCTTACTTCCTTTTGTGTTTCTCTCGTTTTAAATCTCTTCCTGACTTGAATGGTAAATATGAAACTTTGCTATGGTGAAATACTGTTTCCCTCATTTCCAGTACACTGATATTATATTTTAAACAAGATATTTGTACCACACTACCACAATAACTACCTTGGCAGTTGTTTGTCTCACCAGCCACAAAATAATGTTGATGTCCATGAATGCCATTTCAGGTTAAATCAATTCAGTACATGGAAGGGAGGATACATGGGCAGACAGAAAATTGTTTTACATAGACTATTTCTAAGTATCTTCTCTGTTGTCAGATTAATAAACTGATACTTGAGTAAGTTTTTTTTTTTTTTAATGTATTTGGAGAACTGGTTTTTGCATAAAATTATGTCATATAAATAGTGTTCCCATAAGTAGATATGCCCTTACACTATACAGTGCTTAGAAAAATAACATGCATTGTACTATAATGTGCCATTACAGGTGATGACATAAAATTATTTTGAAATGCATGTTTTTACAAAAATTCACATATGTTCTATCACAGAGGTTTCAACCTGTGGTCCGTAGACCCCTGAGGGTCCGCAGACTGTTTTAAGATTACCAAAGGGGTCTGCACCTCCATTTGAAATTTTTTAGGGATCTGAAAATTAAAAAAAGGTTGAAAACCACCGATCTATCACATCCCTAAGTACACTTTTTGATGTGTATATATATTTTCCTAATAAGGTCT